GGGCTGCATCAGGCCTAGTGTCAGGTGCATGACTGGCATTACCCTCTGTCTCTCCCTCACAGCAGCCTGGTGAGGTAGTGTCATTATCCCACTTCACAGATGAGAAAACTGAGGCTTAGAAGTGACTGGACCCAAGGTCCACTGCCTCCAAGGTGGTCCCTGGTCTTCCCATTCCATCAGGCCACCCTGTCCAGTCTTTTCACTCATTCATTCAACATTTGTGGCCACTTTGTGTCAGACACTGGGATACAAGAGGAAGCTTACCTTCTTCCCTTCTAGAAGATTCCAAGGCCCCAGAGGGAGGGTCAGTGAGCCTCAGAACCAGGTGTTGGTGGGGGGATGCTAAGGCTGATGGCGGGACTCCAGACCCGAGACCCATCAAGTCTTGCCTTGAGAGCTGGTCAAGAGAGGCCCGTGCCCTGAGCCTTGTGTTTGCAAAGTCCCTGCTCTGGAAACCCTTTTGGGAGTGACGGTATCAAGGAGCCTACAACTTACCCACCCACCTACTCTCCTTTCTGGACCAAGCTTCTGGTACCCAGAACTCTGGAATCCCTGCCCAGGTAACCCTCCGTTCACCTCCAGGGCCTGCAGGACCCTACCTGAACTTGGCCGGGCCTCCCCGGCCAGGCCTGGGCCATGAGTTCTGTGTAACCCAATTCTTTCTGCTTGGCCTTGTGGAAACAGCCATGCTCCGTGGGAAACTGAAGCCTGCTGGGGGCCGGCAGGTCAGGGCACTCAGGGAAGAAAGTACTCCAAACACCAAAACTAGGCTTGGTGTCAGGGCAGAAGGGGGGCTCAGAGACCACTGGAGCTGACCCCTCCGCTTGACAGGTGGGGGGCCTGAGGCCCAGAGAGTAAAAGCCTCCTGCCCACGAGTGAAGATATGGACTCTTTGCTCTTCCTCAGCGGGCTACAAAGCCCCCTTCTCTGGCTGGGCCCCTCACTGGCAGCTGGCAGCGTCTCTGTCCATTCCGACTCCCCTTCCAACTAACAGGTTCTGGAGGAGAACCTATGAGGCTCGCTCCTAACACTCCCTTTTTGTAAGTCACACTGAGAAGTGTCATAGTGACCCGTCTTACCTCTAAGTCCTGCCGCCACCTCCCCCAGGCAGCCGCCTCCCCTGCGGCCCCGAACCCTTGCCCGTGGGTGGGCCCAGCTTCCCCACCAGCCTCCTCCTTTCCCGGT